AACTTTTCCAAATTTCCAAGCATCACAACAGTGTTTTCTAAAACCATCTGCTTCTAATAGAAAAGGCTTAGGGATAGAACAGAATAAGCATTGGTTTAGTTATTTACAAATTTCATGATCAGGTTGAGACTACTGATAAAATAGTTGCAGGAGATAAAAGAAAATTGATGGTGAGGTTCTAATCAAAGCAATAGGAGCAGCAATAGGTCTAATCTCTTCCCCAGAAGCATCCCTGTGTAGATAGAATGTGGTTAAGAGGAGGCCATTCTGAGAAAAAAAATAGGAGGGGGGGGGAAATTCAAGTGGCCTGTGTTATTCTGAAGATATTAAATCCGCTTCAAATGTTGCTGCAAAATCCAAATAACACTAAGAGGGGCAATGTGTACTTCCACTTATGCTATCCTATAATAATTATTTATTTTATGGTTTTATTATGATTTCAGAAGGGACGGGGAATTATTGAAACTGCACTTGATCACTGTAAGCAAAAGGAATTTTTGTGTGTTAAATCTCATCAGTGGGCATTTGGGGTTAAAAAAATAGAACTATGGTGCTGTAGGTGAAATTTTTTTAGTTTTGATTTTTTTTTTTAGTTTAAACAAATTTCCTATATTCCAAAAGCCTAAAGCATCAATCAGCTTTAAAAACATTGAAATTTTGAACTCTTTGCATAATTAGTTTAGTTTTTGCTTTGGGGCAACATTTTAATTCAGTTTTTAGTTTACTCTTTTAACTGTTTAAAGCAATGTAATTATAGTTTGCATAAATATATAAAATGCCTCCTACCTTAAGTTTAGACTTGCTACCCTGAAAATATGAATTTGTGGAAAGAAATGCTTAATGGGGGTGGGGGGAATGTTAGTCAGAGTGCCAAGCGCTTCTGTCCTCTCAGGTGCTCCCTTTTGTGTGGACTAAGAGTACAAAGGACTCTCTATTACAAGAAATAGAGTAGCTTCTTCATGAAAAGAAATTGACATTTATTAGCCTTGCCGCTCACTTGATGACTCTGCATTTCTTGTTGGCAGCTGAGCAAGGATAATAGAAGTAGAAAGAGTTCATTACTGCAGTAATGAAATTTCAACTACTGTTTAGATAAGGTTGCATGTGGTACTTGCATTACTTTCATAACTTGTCATCAAGCCTTACCAAAGGCTCACTTCTGTATTGATACTGTGCATTACTGAATTCTATATCTACAAATTCATGCATACTAAACATAATATTTAGTAGCAAATTGGGAATAAGTTGAGTTACAAAAATTCTACAAGCAACTCACTTTTTATTATAATGTTCCTATTTATTCATTTTTTTTGCAAGCAACTGCAGATGTAAAAAACAACAACCCCAAATTAAAACTGTCTTTATAAAGTAGGCCAGATGAGCAGCATCCTTAAGCATTTAGCCTGCCCCCCACATCCAAATGCACACCCATCACTTCTTTCAAAGATTATTTTGATGCCTCAGTACTTTTCAGTTTTAGTGCCTCAGTACTTCTCAATTAACTGTAGAGTACATGAATGGAAAGATATAGATATACTTTTCTGGCATGAAAGTGGATTTTATTTTTACAGGTGCACATAGTTCAAAACAGATTCAGCTCTTGAATTCAACTTTCTTTGTATGTCAATTAAGAATACAGAAACTGTATAGCAAAAGAAGCCTGGAAACTTAAATGCATAAATATGCTTTTTGAATTTTCCAATAGAAAAATAATAAAATTCTATAAATATCTCCAAAGCCATTGCTAAACTTTTATACAAAGTAAGGTGAGTTAAAAGCTATAAACTATTTTATACAGGAAATATATGAGATAGTCTATATTTCACATAAAAATCTGTAGTATAAATTTTATTAACATCAAAACTTACATTACCTAGAAAGTTATTTATGTTAATATTCTCCAGAAGAACACACACTGTATCTAGTTTATCACTTTTCGTTTCTTGCAATTATAATGACCATATGTGATTTCCAAAAGCTCTTCTTTAGCTTTATTTATTTATTTTGCTTTTGCTTTTGAATTTTCTAAATGTTCTAAAACTAAAACTATATTTTGATAACCTTACAAACGTCTTTTAGATTTGCCCTCTTTTGAGGGTTTGTCCTTTGTTTTTTCCAAGAAAATATGGTCATTGTACTTGTAATAGATACATAGAAATACAACAATACAACAATGAATACTTTCTAGGAAAATTTGATCAAAAAAGAACTGATTCTGGAATTAAAATTCTGGGCTCATCTGATTATTTTAATTCTTCAAGATAAACATCTAGTAACAAGCAGATGAGTTATTAAAATTTGGAACTGAATTCTATAGAAAATGTCTAGAGTTTGACTCTTAGGAACTATAAATAAATTTGAAGGGTTGTTTCAACATCTCCTTCATACCCAAACATTCTGATACAGGGAGCCCTGAAGTTGCATTTGGTGAGATTGCACAACACATACATAAATCTATTATTAAAAATGAAGACTCCAGAGTGCCTAATTTTTGAAAATAGTGAAATGCTATATCCCCTCTTTCATGATCTACATCTGGAGTGGTACAGCTGTAAGCTCTAGTAACTTGTGTGGGTTTTTATTTTTATTAAAAAATATCAATTTGTTAAATTAGTAATTAAACAACAATTTTGCATTTCTTTAGCCTCATATAATCTATATAAAACCCACTACAAAAAAGTCTTATCTCTTTCAGTAGCTGCTTTCCTTAATACAGGCTGTATCCTTTTAAAAAATGAAGAAATGTGGCATACTGAATATTTAAAAGGTGTCTAATATTGTTTGACTGGTTAATTATGTTCCAACAAGTCACTTTTGACTTTTAGTGACTGAAGGTATCTGTACTTATGCTAAAATAGCATGTTTCTAAGAATACAAGAGAATCTTCACAATCCAAGATTAGGTATCTGAATTTAAAATATGTTAATCTTCTTGGCCCACATCAATGTATCTTCCAGCTATTAAAATAAGAACAAGACAATCTGCAATCTCAATAATGTCTTTTTTTAAAGCCCTGCACTGCTGAAGCTTACTAACAAAGTAATAAAAACTGGCAGCACTTTTTTTTACATTAAAGATTATTAATGTATTAAATCTCAAAATGTAAAAGCATAAAATAATTCTATCATCTTTTGAATATAAGATAAAAACCTGCATTATCCAAACCATTTCTCTCCAAAACAGAAAAACTCAGAAAAGTGCCATTTTCTCAATGTGTCAAATATAATATTATCACTTTCTTCTGCATACAAAGATAACTAGATTTCCAATAATTTTTCAGCTTTTTAATATATCTCTGAACATGTGACCTCCTAATACAGATTAGTTGACACTAAATTCTTTCCTATCGTTGTATGATATGAAACATTATACCCATTCTGTTTCTTTATTTAACCTTTCTTTGACCCAGAAAATGCATTATCTTTATTGGCACAAGTATGTAGATTTGAGAATTTTTGGCAAGACATTTTGGCAAAGATTTGTTGAAAATTGAAGTACAGTTACAAATAGATGCTGACAGAAGCTTATTGTACCCCTCAGAGTCTAAATATTTCTTACAAGACATGGTTTCACTTTTATAAACTCATGCATTTGCCAGATATATCATACTTTCCTGCGTATCTGAAAAATTTGATCTTAATAAAAATCTGCCTGGGACTGAATTCCCTCAGGAGAAGCAGACCCTGTTCTTAAAAATCCATGAAATCTACATTTAGTATGGATCCCTGAAAGGAATCCAAATCAGACTTGACTAGAGATACATGTTGTCAATAGGTAGATTGCAATAAAATTGTAATAAAAATTGCAATAAAAAAACTGGCCTTGAGGATGTTAGTATTTTTTTTTCATTATAACATACCTCATCTCTCCAGTAATTTGGAAAGAAAAGTTGTATCCTCCTGAAGCATACTCTTGTATACTGTTACCATTACTTCACTTCCAATACACACCTCAAAAAACCATGAAAGCGCAGAGACATATGATACTTGATCAAAGGTAAGGAAATACAACTGATGCTTTGTCACCATGAACAGCCCAGTAAAATCAGAAAACAGTAATGATGTCCAAAACTAAATGGAATCCTTACAAAGATGTAAAAGGAGAAACTTCCATCCCTGCCCCAAGACCCTGAAAAAGGACAAAGCTACATCACGAGTAACATCATTCCAAATCAAATGCAATGGGAAAACATTGCATTCAATTGGGTCAATAAGAAAACTTTGGTTGCTGCTTCTTGCAATGCCAAATCACATTTTCCCCCCAAAAGTGAAAGGCCTATTGTTCCTTGTAGTCAGAGGTGGTATTCAGCAGGTTCTGACCAGTTCTGGAGAACTGGTAGCGGAAATTTTGAGTAGTTCGGAGAACCGGCAAATCCCACCTCTGACTGGCCCTGCCCCACCTGTTCTCTGCCTCCCGAGTCCCAGCTGATCGGCTGGGTCTTCTTTTGTTGCCCTGCACACGGAGCTGGAAAGCAGGTTAGTGGGGTGGGGAGGGAATGGAATTTTGCAGTAACCTTCCCCTGCCATGCCCACCAAGCCATGCCCACCAAGCAATGCCACACTCACCAAGCCACACCCACAGAACCGGTAGTAAAAAAAATTGAATCCCACCACTGTGTGTAATATGTACTCTGAAAATGTATTTCTTGATTTAGGATTTTAACCTGGTTTCATTCAGGAGCAAAAAGCAGGTTATGTTCTGTTCTTTCCTCTTATTTTTCCCCGCATCAAAAAGCCTGTGAGGTTAGTCAGGATGAGAGACAGTGACTTCCCCAAAATCTCTTAATGAACTAGAACCAGGTTTCTCTTCCTCCTAGTCGAACACTTTAATCACAACATCACATCTTCTGTGATTTGAAAATGGGCTGGTAGATTTGACACAGCACTACACTAAATTGTATATCCTTTGAACACTCAGTCTTCCAGCTTGCCATGCTAGAATTCTAGCAAGTTTCCCTCTGATTTTAAGCATGAAACACATAAAGTAAAATAAATACTTACCACTAAATCCCAGTTATTTTGTTCAAGTAAGGTGATAGCTTCATCAATATTTTCTATTCCAGTACATGCCTAAAATAATAAAGAATGACAAAGTTTCAGCTGAAAAAAAACTGCCAAAAATAATAATTTGTTAAAAATCTACAGGTTAAAAACTGAATTCAGCAAGATCACAACCTCTTGATATCTAGACATCTTGAGACATAAACATAGATTAAATGTAGGAGATTTTATTGTATGAGTTCAGAAAATTTAGACATCAATTGATAAGCCAAGAATTATCAAACTTGTAGTTCATCTTATTAATCCAATTTAGTAGATTATTTTAATACTTTAATAGATTACAGTAGTATAGCTATACAATAGTATAGTAGTGTGTAACTCTTCCTATTTGCGAAAGATTTAATAACAGTCAAGCAATACTCTTGCCATCCCCATTTTATTATGAGCAAAAGATCCCTATTCTATCATATTCAGCAAGTTCTTTAAGCAATGGTTGTCAAATATATATTCAATTAAGAGGTACCACCTATCACAGCTTATTCCATAAATATAGCTAAAACCATTATACTGAGTATTAACTTTGCATGCAAGACGTCCTAGATTCAGCTGTTGATATAGCCAAGTAAAAGGAGAACCACCATATTTTTAATTATGTTTATATCTATCTTCTCACGCACAAAGTGTTCAAGGCAAAGTATAAAAACAATGAAAGAGGAAATAAAAATAACCACAAATAGGAAAGTCATCCTCCTAGATATCTGTACGATATACAGTAAAGAAAATTCTATATTGCTATATTATTCCATGTCAAACTAATTATGAAAGAAAATACATGCTTGCATTATTCTGCAAACAGGTAGCCTTTGACTGATGACCACAATTGGGACCTAAATTTCTATTGCTAAACAAAGCACCTGATTTTAGGACCTTTTTGTCATGGTTTTTACGCAAATCATTGTTAAGTGAATCACAAGGTCATTAAGCCAATCTGGCTTCCCCCATTGACTTTATTTGTTGGAAGCTAATGGTTGCAAATGGCAATCACATAGCATATAGATAGATACTGCAATCATCATAAATACAAATGCTAATTATCAATTGCCCAAAATTTGATCATATAACCATGGGAATGCTACAACGATCTAAGTGTGAGAACCAGTTGTAAGTAAATTACATCTAATATCTATGGAGATACTCAGTCATCCAGGTCAAGAGGCAACTGAACTTTCTGTTTTTTCTTTGAAGAGGTTTTGCTCCTCATTCAAGAAACTTCTTCCGCTCTGACTGGATGGTGGGGAATAGAAGGATTTATACTCCTCACTGACAGCAGGCCATTTGCATTCTTTTAGCGAATATTTAAGATGACCTAGAGGTTTATCTCCAATCTACAACACAGTCCTTTCAACAATTCTAAGTAGGTTCTTCATCCATTTGCACCACTCAGGTGATCCTGAGGTGACTTTAACGACCTGCTAAAAGGATGCAAATGACCAGCTGTCTGCAAGGAGTATAAATCCTGAAAGGCATCCAGAAAGTACCCATGATATCAATCACTCCGAGACATTTTCTCTCCAATTGATTTATTTAGAAATAGATCTGGCATGTCAAAGGCAATTTCCCAAAGTGAAAATTTTTTGCGCGTTACACAGAATCCACCTTCTATCCTCCCTTCTCTCCTCCCACTTCTATACTTCATAAATCACGAGAACCAATTAACTGCCACTGGAATTTCTTAATACAACATACAGAATAACCTTGAACTTTTCAACTCCTCCAACTCTTTTAAAAAAATGTGGCAGCTGAATTTCAAAGCTGACAGACGTCCCCCCTTGAAAACTCCTCCTCCTAAAGAAAAAGAAAGAAAACACATACAGGGGTTAATACATTGTCCTTAACCCCCTCTCCCCCTCCACGAGGACCCTTCGGTTTGTGGGGAAAATCCTCATGGAATTGGTTAACCAACTGATCAGCATGAACATCCCAACTCTTTACCCAACTAGCATCTGAGAGGGGGTATCCTTTCCATAAGACCAAATATTGCAATCGGCCACAGTGTAATCTAGAATCGAGAATTTTTTTAATCTCATAATGTGTTCCCCACTGTATGGTTAACACTTTAGGGAGAGCTATTGGCAGTAGTCTTATCATTGATGCAGTAGCTGGTTTTAGTAAACTACAATGGAACACCAGATGAATTTTCCCCAACAGTCAAAGAAGACTTAATTGGACAGGCCTGTTTTTTATAATTTTTTGCAGCTTCGTTCAAAGCTTTTTTTGTATCTTCCCACCCTTTCTTTAATGAGTTCATCCATTCTGTTAAGGACATGGATGAGGGAGGTTGTCTAGGTAATTCTGTCATTGGGACAAAATCCATTCCAGTGTTGATTTGGAGTGGAGTCAATCATGTGCTGCTATGTACTGCATTATTGTAAGCAACCTCTGCAAAAGGTAATAACTCAGCCCAATTTTCTTGTTGATAATTTACATAGCATTTAATGTATTATTCAATCATGGCATTAGCCCTCTCAGCTGCTCCATTACAAGCAGGATGGAAAGCTGAGGATAACCCTTGAGAAGAACCAATGGATTTCAGAAATTCCCTCCAAAATTTTGTGGTAAATTGTACCCCTCTGTCTACAAGGTACTCCATGTAGTCTATAGATAGGTTTCATGAACAGCTTTGCAAGTTTTTTCGCAGATGGATGTCCTTTGCAGGCTATAACATGGGCTTGTTTAGAGAATAAGTCAATTATAGTCCAAATGATCGTATTCCGTTCACTCTTAGGTAGTTCAACAATAAAGTCCAGTGCAATTTCTTCCCAAGGTTGGGTTGGTTCAGCAACTTGTTGCAGGAGGCCAGGGTGTTTTCCAGTTCTGTGTTTCATTGTGGCACAAATTGAACAACTTTTTACATAGTCGACATCAGATTTCATTTTTGGCCAGCAGAACTGTCTTCTCAGTAAATGTAGGGTCTTTAGGAATCCAAAGTGGCCTCCCAGCCAGGAGTCGTGGCTACGCTTTAGTACCAGTAGTCTTAGGGTTGTGGGTACATAAAGCTTAGTCCCTTTCCAAGCTAGTCCATCATTCATTGTCAACTCAGTTTGATGGTCCAGGAACCAAGGATCGGTCAATAGGGCCGTTTTCAATTCTGCAGTCAGCTTATTTTCCAGGCATTTGGGGTTGCGGTTGGCTTGGGCTCGAATGGTTACTTGGCCTGCCGATTGAGCGTCTGAAATTAAGGCTTGTACTATTTCCTCTCGGTGACTATCAAACTGAGGTTTTCTGGACAGAGCGTCCACCAGTACGTTTTTCCCTCCTGGGATATATTTAATGTTGAAATTGAATTACTTGAAATATTGGGCCCAGCGGACTTGTTTGGGCGATAATCTCCTAGGAGTCTTTAGAGCCTCAAGGTTCTTATGATCAGACCATACCTCAAAGGCCTCTGGCACCTCTTCTAGAAAATGCCTCCAAGCCAATAAAGCCCATCGTATGGCGAATGCTTCTTTCTCCCAGACCGCCCACCTTTGCTCTGTATCTGTCACCTTTTGGACACATAAGCGCACGGCATCAGTCAGCCTTGAGAATCTTTCTGCAGCAAAACGGCTGCCACCGCTACATCACTTGCATCTGTTTGGACAATAAAAGGCTTGGTCGCATCTGGGTGCTGGAGGATGGGCTCAGCTGCGAAGAGGCGTTTTAAGGTCTCGAAAGCTTTCTGACAGTTCATAGTCCAAGCCAGGGGTTGACTCAGCTTTGGTTTGGTGGGTGACAGGCCCGTTTTTAATAGCTCTGTCAACGGGAGGGCAACTTCAGCAAAGGACAGAATGAATTGTCTATAGAAGTTGGCAAACCCCAAGAAACTTTGAAGCTGTTTTCGGGTTCTGGGGGGTTGCTAGTCCAGCACTGCTTTCACCTTTCCGGGGTCCATTTCAATCCCCAGGTTGGATATTTGGTAGCCTAAGTAGTCCAGCGACTCTTTGTGGAATTTGCATTTTGAGAGTTTCACATATAATTTGGCGGGTAGAAGTTTTTCTAGAACCTGTCGGACCAATTGAACATGTTCTTCCATGGTTTTGCTGAAGATAAGGACGTCACCAGGTACACGAGGACCCCCCGGTAAAGATGCAGGTGTAGCACCTCATTGATGAGCTGCATAAAGACTGCATGAGCCCCCTGAAGTCCGAAAGGCATGACTGAATTGGAAGCTCCCCAGAGGGCAGTTAAAAGCAGTTTTCTACTCATCTCCCTCTTTGATGTGGACCCAATAGTAAGCTTCCCTGAGATCTAGCTTGGTGAATACTTTGCCCTTCGACAGGTGGTTCAATAAATCCTTCATAAGAGGGAGAGGATACATGTTTTTGAAGCATACGGCGTTCACGCCTCTAAAGTCAACACACAATCTCAACCCGCCATCTTCTCCTTGAACAACACAGGGGCAGCTAATCTTGATTTCGCAGCCTCGTTCCAAATTGCTGTCAATGTATTTCCTTAATTCGGTCATTTCAGCAGGTGTCATGGAATACATCTTTGGTTTTGGTAATTTCGTCCCGGGCTCTAATTCTATGGCGCAATCAGTGGCTCGATGGGGAGGTGAAACATTACACTCTTCTTCACTGAATGCTTCAGCCAAGTCTGTGTATTGGTCAGGTACCTGGGGGTTATCTGGGAGAAGGTGGGATGCCATGGATGCTGGCTCAGGCTCTGGGTTCAAGCTGACTGGTGGCTTTGTAGTGGGTGGAAGAGGGGCCAATGGGCCCGGTCCAGTGAGGATTTTTCTGAATCCATCCTCCCATTTGATCATTGGGGCCCATTTGTCTAACCAAGCAAGTCCCAGTATGATTGATTCTGACATCTTGGGGGCCACTATGAAGAGTATGAGTTCATGATGGGGCCCTAATTCCATCTTGATCAATTCTGTCATTTGAGTGGCTGCCCCCTTCCCCAATTAAGGTTCCATCCACTTGCTCAAATCTGATTGGGCGTTTTAGCAGGTTAGTCTTTATGCCCAATTGTTCAATGATGGCGAGTCTGATAAGACATCTAGAACACCCAGTATCAATGACAGC